GTGCATCTTAGTAATTTTTAGGGTTTTCTATGGATAAGATTGTGTCGTCTGTGAACAGAGATTGTATTAGTTCCTTTCCAATTTGGATGCCTTTTTATTTCTTTTTCTTGCTGTATTGCTCTAGCTAGAACTTCCAACGCTATGTTGAGTAGAAGATGCAAAAACTGACATCCTCACCTTCTTTCTGATCTTAAGGGAAAAGCTTTCTATCTTTCACCATTAAATCCAATGAGAGCTAGGTTTGGTGCATTTTATTAGAGACTCGAGTTACTCTGATCTTCTTACTGTATCGAACTATAGTGTTCTTATCCCAAAGGGAGCTACTCAGCAGGACTTACGGGATGTCTATTATTCTGACTGAGAAGCAATCTCATTTGGTAAATGCTTTCAAAGGTCGTATTTAGGTGATAACATTGGCATGTGTATGTGATATTTCTGGCACTCCAACACCCATTAAATTTGAAGCTTCGGGGGAAACTTACGTGTCTCCACGTGTTGAACATGTCCAAGAGTTCCGGAGGCAAACAAGGCTGGGCAGGGCGGCACGCACGGAGTGAGCTGGAAGGAATGTGGGGAGCAGTGGCAGAAGGGGGCATGGGGCAACAGGGCAGCCATTAGCACAGGTGCCGAGAGGGTCCTTAAGGGGCCAGAAGGGTGTTAACCCCTCCCCAAGGCCCGCGGGGATGTGGGCGAAGGGGAGAAAATTAGCCTGCTCAGGGAAGGGAGGCTGCGGGCTGAAGAAGGTGGAGGGTGTGTTTGGAGAAGGGCCGGGGGCTGGGAGGTTGACCACGCAGAGTCATCAGACTCAGATGGGCACTGGGGAGGCCTACAGGAGACACCACGCGTGGTCCTGGGATCTGGCCGTGGTTGGCTGGGGTGCATACGTCAGGGTTCTCGTGAGACACCGAACATGTGTGTGTACATACAAAGAGATCTATTTTAAGGAATTGGCTGACGTGATTGTTGGGGTCTGAGAAGTCTGAAATCCCTGGGCCAGGCTGGCAGTCTGGAAACTCAGGAGTTTGCTGCAGTCTTGAGGTCAGATCCCTTCTTTGCGAAATCTCAGTCTTTGCTCTTACGGCCCTCAGCTGATTGCACGAGGCCCACCTCTTGTAGGGAGGGTAATCCCCTTTGCCTAAAAGTCCAGTGATTGCAGATGTCAACCACTTCCCCAGAGTACTTTCAGAATAGCAGCTAGGTTGGTGTTGGGATTAAACGTCTGGATGCTGGACACACGGACACATGAGACTTGCTACCATAGGCCCAGGTTGACTTATGGGCCAGACAGGTTTACAGGCTTGGGGGCTACTGGCCTTGCCCAAGGCTGGAGAGAGGTGACCAGCCACAGCCGTGCCCATGCAGTAGAGAAGCTGGTTACCGCGTGGGGCCCTCCCGCCATCTTGTCAGGGCTTCCATTGCCCCTCCCCTCTTCCCTTCAGCCTAGCAGCCTCTTACAGGTCATTTTCTGGTTTCTGTGCAGATGGATTAAAGGATCCTAAACTCTTAGCGAAAACATAATTGCCTGGTAGTGGATGTTATAGATTTAGGGCACTTCTGTTCCTTTTAGCTGAAATAGCAATTTAATAGTGTTTTCCTATCTTGGGTCTGTATTAGTATTTCAGGACCGACTGCCTTAACAGAATTGTACAGACTGGGCAGCTCAAATAACAGAATTTATTTCCTCTTGGCTCTGGAGGCCGAAGTCTGAGATCGAGGTGTGGGCAGGGCTGGGACCTCGTGAGGCCCCTCTCTGTGGACGTGTAGACGGCCGTCTTCTCCCCATGTCTTCCCGCGGTCGCCCCTCTGTGTGTGTCTGTGTCCTCAGGTCCCCTCACATTGACTCGGGGGCCACACTAACACCTCATTTTAAGCTAATCACATCTTTAAAGACCTCCACCTCCAAATACAGCCATGTTGTGGTTCCTGGGCATTAGGGCTTCAACTTTTGAATTGTGGGGAGGACACGCTTCAGCCCACGACTGGGTCTTACCTTCGAATTTTTTTTTTTTTCAACGTTTATTTATTTTTGGGACAGAGAGAGACAGAGCATGAACGGGCGAGGGGCAGAGAGAGAGGGAGACACAGAATCGGAAACAGGCTCCAGGCTCTGAGCCATTAGCCCAGAGCCCGACGCGGGGCTCGAACTCCCGGACTGCGAGATCGTGACCTGGCTGAAGTCGGACACTTAACCGACTGCGCCACCCAGGCGCCCCTCGAATTTTTTGCTATCTTTCTTTTTAGGTTTATTTGTTTCGAGAGAGGCAGAGACAGTGTGAGTGGGGGAGGGACAAAGAGAGAGAGGGAGAGAGAATCCCAAGCAGGCTCCGCATTGTCAGTGCAGAACCCCACATGGGGCTCGAACACACGAAACCACGAGATCACGACCTGAGCCAAAACCAAGAGTTGGGTGCTCAACTGACTGAACTGCCCAGGCGCCCCAATTTTGTTGCTTTTTGGTTGACGGAATGAATGTCCTTACTTTTATGCCCCACTGGAGTCTTTCAGGATTCCCCTGGGAAGCTTTCGTGAGTCTTCCTTTCTGAATTCTGAAAAACTCCGACTGTCTGGTCAGAGAATCTTCACTCTGCCCCAGATGCGTGAGAGGTGCGGGGTCGAGATCGGCTGGGGAAGATGGTGTTCCCTTCACAGCCAGGCGCTGTTCTCTGCACCCCGAGTTTTGCGCCGAACTGCAGACTGTTCAACCTTTTTGCCACTGTGTTTGATGCGTTCTCCCTGGGGTCTGTTGTCCACGTTCCTGGGATTTTGCGTCCACGGACTGTACTGTCTGCAGCATTGATTCTGATTTGACTGCCCACAGCCTCCGGTTTATCTTGTCCCGGGCAGTTCCTGCCTGTCCTGTTTCTTCCATTCTCCTTTTTTCTTTCATTGAGAGAAATGAGCCACTGACTATATAGTCTTTGTTTTTCTTGTAGTAAAACGACTTCAGGGAAGTGGGACCTTCTGTGCTCTGAGTATAGGAGCAGAAAAATTTTTTAAGTTTATTTGTTTGTTTTGAGAGAGAGGGAGAGAGAGAATCCTTAGCAGACTCTGCATTGTCAGCACAGAGCCCAACGTGGGGCTCAGTCTCATGAGCCGTGAGATCATGACCTGAGCTGAAGTCAAGAGTCAGTTGCTTAACCAACTGAACCCCTCAAGGTGCCCCCAGAAAGTGTTTTTTTAAGCTCGGTTTCCTTGCTGCCTCGTTGTGGGGATTCTTGTTATTGTTCATTATTCTTGCTCCTCTGAAAGGCAGCCTCAGAGGAGACCCTGTGTTCTAGAATAGCAGGACACCTGCCTGTCCCTGGGCCTCCTCTGGGGACACCATAGGAGAGGCGGGTAGTCCTGTTGGAGGCGGCTCCTGGACATGGTGGGGTGGCCGTCCTAGAGCTGCTGTGTTTTCTTCCTGCTCTAAAGGGGTTGACAGTGATGACTGCCAGCGCCCTCTTTGTGAAACCGGCTTGGATCCAGATGCCAGAAACCCAGTGGACACTGACTGAGCGAGCCATCTTGGAGCAGTGTTGATTGGCGAGAGGCAGTCTGAGGGGGCTTCCTGGAGGAGGTGATCCCTGAGCTCAGTCCTACAGGGCATAGGAAGGTAGCTGGTGGTGGAGCAGGGAAAGACAGCCGCAAACGCAGAGGCTTGAGAAAAGCCTCTCGTGGCCAGGGATTATGAATTGTTCAGCGGGGCTGGGCCGAAGAAGGGCCGATGGTCCAGGCACCTCTGGGACCGATTATGATGGAGAGCGTTCATTGCTGCCATTCCTGAAAATGTTCCCAGCGTCCAATGATTTCCACATGAGAAGACATTGTCCCTGGTTCCTCCCTGTTCCCGGAATCCTCCCCCTGCTCTCTGATTACCGCTGAGCTTTAGAAGGAAGGATCTCAGAGAAGCTCGCTTCATGGAAGTTTGGCCTTGGTTTTTTTGTGTTCAGAGGCAAACGGGTGACCCGTCTGAGTCCCGGCCAAGCTGCTGGTTGCCCCTAACCTCCCCGCCCCACCCGTCCTCTGCGTCAGAGGGGAGGGAGATTCGCTGTCTGCTTTGTATGCATCAGGCATGTGGTTTGTGCTGCAGCAGATTAAAAACGAAAATGACAGGGTCTGTGTTTCGTGCTTATTGGGATCTCACTGTAGGAGCCAATGTGCTTTTAAGAAGAAAAAAAAAATTTTTTTTTAAGTTTATTTATTTTTGAGAGAGAGAGCACGAGCTGGGGAGGAGCAGAGAGAGAGGGAGAGAGAGAATCCCAAGCAGGCTCTGTGCTGTCAGTGTGGAGCCTGATGCGGGGCTTGATCCCACGAACTGCGAGATCGTGATCTGAGCTGAAATTAAGGGTCAGGTGCTTAACTGACTGAGCCACCCAGGCGCCCCCACGATGGGCTTTTGAATACAGCTCATGCTACTTGTAGCTCACACAGAAGCGAGGAGAGGCTTAATGTGGTTCAGAAGTCCATTTCTGTGAATGTCATTGTCAGAGATTGTAATCACAGAACCATGCCTCCAGGGAGAGTGTGACACCAGTGGGGGCGTCAGATGCCCGTAACAGTGTTTTGATCTCGGCTGCGGCCGGGAGAGTCAGCATACACACGGGCGGTACCGGGGAGACCCTGACCACACACAGCTTCCTCGGTGCTTGATTGGAATGAGGCTCAATCCATATTCCCCAAAGGAAGATCAAGTCTTCAGGGTGTTAATATCTGTAATGACCAAAGGAGCCCAGCGGTCCCTGGGAGCCTCCGCGGGGGGCCGGCGCCCCCCACACCCCTCTGAGGGCCCCCGCGCCCCATGGATCCTGTGACCGTGCGGACGGCCTTCCCAGGGTTCCGTAGCCGGTCTCTGTGTGAGAAGAAAAGCGGGGACCCCTTGAGCAGACCTCCCACCTGAGTGCCTGATCGCGCGAGGGTGTCCAGGGGCCACCGGCTCGGGTGTGTCGCCCTGGAACAAGCTGCGAGCAGTGACCGTGGTGTCCCGTCTGGCTGCTTCTCACGGTCTGTCTCTGTTGCAGGTGCTGAAGAAGGAGCCCATGGCTTTAGCCGGCTGCCCGGATTCCTTCTTGCACCATCCGTACCACCAGGTATGGGGGAGCGTGGATGTTGGATGCCAGCAGGCGGAGCTGGCACCCGTGTGGTCAGTAACCATGACGGGTCACCAGGGGGGATGTCTGCACTGGGGTCACCGGCGTGTTCTGGAAGATCTTACCACGTGTCCCCCTCGGCCACGGCTTCCGGGTTCCAGAGGGTTGTCACTGTGGTGCGGTCTTGCCTCTGATGTGTGGGAAGAGGTGTTTGGGATAAAGCAGGTGCCACGTGGTCGTCTGCTGGGCCCCAAACCTCCAGAAGGCCCGTTCGAGTGGCGGCTGCGGGGATGTTCAGCCAGAGACCTGAGCATCTGGGGCACGACGCGGGGAGAGGAGGGTGTCCTGACCTGGGTGCAGCTTGTGCTTTGGGGGTAGAAGCCTCCCCCCCCCCCCCAACTGGCTCCTTTTTCCCTCTGCCTGGAAGCATCAGGTGGGGGTTTGTGGAGGACAAGTTCATATCTGCTCCTCTGGTTTCCCAGGCTCTTCGTGGGCTGCTCGGTGAATTTCCTCTGTTAATTTCCTTCATCTTTGGACCCATGTTTTCTTTCTTTTTTTTTTTTTTTTTAAAGTTTATGTATTTATTTTGGGAGAGACAGAGCATGAGCAGGGGAGGGGTGGGGGAGGGGATAGAGAGAATCCCAAACAGGCCCCACGCCGTCAGCATGAGCATCAGCCCAACGTGAGGCTCGATCCCACAACCCTGGGATCAACCCTGGGATGGAGCCACCCGGGTGCCCCCACCTTCTGAACCACGGTTTTGTTTGAGCCTTTACTTTGCAGGGTGGAGGGCTGCCCTTGAAGGAATGAATCCTGGTTCTTTGGACTTGACACAGGGCGCCTGGTTTATCTTTATTGGTCCTTTAGCATGTCAAGCACCTGTTCTCTCTCTCAATCTCTCTCTCCTTTCTTTCTCTCTCTCTCTTTCTCCTCTCTCTCTCTTTCTCTCTCTCTTGGCCTCCAGCTCTCCAGCATGGCTCCCTGATTTTGAGGCCCTTCCGTATGCTCTACCCTTGACTGGAGTTCTGCACTTCTCTGAACTTGTGTTTCCTTCCCTTGGTCTGTCGAGTCACTTTTTAGCGACTGTGATGAAAATTTGCTTATTCATCGGCTGCAGAGAGCTTTCTTTTTAATTAAAAAAAAAATTTTTTTTTTAATGTTTATTTCTTTTTGAGAGAGAGAGACAGAGTAGGAGCAGGGGAGGGGCAGAGAGAGAGGGAGACACAGAATCCAAAGTAGGCTCCAGGCTCTGAGCTGTCAGCATAGAGCTCGATGTGGGGCTTGAACCCACGGACCGTGAGATCATGGCCTGAGCCGAAGTCAGACGCTTAACTGACTGAGCCACCCAGGCGCCCCTGATCTTTTATTGTTGTTGTTGTTGTTGTTTTGGTATCAAAGTGAAGTGAACCTTCCAAGAAAGGCTGAATGTTAGGAATACCATTCGTGGTAGCCACTGAATTTGGGACAAGGCCAGAACGAGTTACAAGCTGGAAAAGAGGGCCAGCACCTAGTAGAAGTGGGAAGGGTGTTCTGCTTAAGCCATGGTTGTTTGCTTATTCCTAAAAGAGGCCTTGGGGCTCCTGGGTGGCTCAGTCAGTTAAAGGTCAGACTCTTAATTTCGGCTCAGGTCATGGTCTCACAGTTTGTGAGTTCGAGCCCCACACTGGGCTCTTTGCTGCCGGTGCAGAGCCTACTTGGGATTCTCTCTCTCTCTCTCTCTCTCTCTCTCTCTCTCTCTCTCTCCCCCCCCCTCTGTCTCTGCCCCCCGCCAAATAAATAAATAAACTTAAACAAGAGGCTTCACCCTGTTGGTTAAAGCTCCATGCTGCATCCATGGGTCGTAGGTCCAATCCTCCCGTGGCCCCTTAGCTGTGGCCAGTTGTCTGGGTGCAGATTGTACCCATCATCTGGCCTGCCGCCTTGCACTTCATACCATTGCTTCCAAATGGAAAAGATCAGTGCACTACGTGGAAAACTGTCCCTGAGGGAGTCCGTCTGAAAGTTGGTGGAGAGGTGTCCTCTCCAGCTGGTTACAGAGCGGACCTGATGGACGGAAGGGTGATGGCACAAAGACCCTCTTGCCTCCCTCCGCCCCCCTCCTTCCGTTTTCAGTCTTCTGTGGGTCTCACAGAGACAGCAGAAGCACCCAGTAAAGGTCATGCCTTTCTCCACAGACGCACTAGCTGTTTGTCATTGCCGCCCCGGATGCCCAAGGCAGTTCTGCATAAGCCAGAAAGCCGTGGAGGGGGTGTGGGGGGCAACCCCAGTGAAACTCTGTCACCCCTTGGTGAAATGCTCAGTCGTGACTTTCGGTGGCATTTGACAGCACGGTCCTCCGCTCGTAAAAATGCGGCAGCCGGACTTGGCAGTTGGCATCCACTGTTCCTGGAAAATCAGATGACTGTTGCAGAATTTCTCAGAAAATGGCATGATTTACAGTGAGTTCCAGTCTTGAGCAATCTGCAATTATGGCAATTTAGAGGAATCTCCCAAGTCTTCATGGAGAAGAATTTCTTAAGATCTTTAGCATACTATCGGATTTCTGACTCGAGCTGTTCCGTATGTGCTGGGGCTCGGATTAGATAACGGGCTTCGGTCAGTGAGTGGCCGAGATGTAGAGTTTTTTTATGGACCCAGAAGCACCCAAGTTAGCGTGTGCATTCAGTTATCATGCTTTCCGCTTTAGCGGCCCCGGGGTTGGTGGAATAGGGAACAAACAGCTTCACTTTTAAGACTTAGAGTTTTCCTTTAAAATCTGATATTGTCGTTGTTCGGTGGCCTTTGTGGGGGGGGGGGGTGGATCTTGTAACACTCCTGTGCCTCAGTTTCCCTGCTGGCCCAAAAGGGTTAATGGTGTCCAGGTCGTGTGGGGATTGGAGCAAGGGCATGGAAATTGCCCAGCACGGGGGTGACCACGTCTGGGACACCCGGCCCAGGATAGTTACCTTTAATTCCTTGGTCACTGATTGTGCCAGACACAGTGTCTGAGCTAGGGGGGTGGGTGGCTTTGCACGAGGCAGGCAAGTTCCCCAGGCTTATGAGTCTTAGTTGGGAAGGCGGACACGGGACAGCTGGCAGATAAGATGATTGTGAACGATGACAGTGATTCTGAGGCAGATACAATAGGCTGGTGGGGGAGAAAGGAGGTCAAGGAGGCCTCCCTGGAGGAAGTGCCCAGAGCCGCAGGTGGTGCCCAGATAGGACTGGGCAGAAGGATGCAGGGAGGAAAATCCTGGCTTGGGGAGGTGGGGGAGGTTAGACTTTGGCCACGTAGGAACAGGGCGTCTGGGGGGGAGGGGGTTATAAATAGACGCCTGCAGCCCATGGTCTGCAATTTTACAATTCCCAAAGCTCGGGGCGCCTGGGTGGCTCAGTTGGTTAAGCGTCCGACGTCGGCTTAGGTCGTGGTCTCACAGTTTGTGAGTTCGAGCCCCGTGTCGGGCTCTGTGCTGACAGCTCAATGCCTGGAACCTGTTTCAGATTCTGTGTCTCCCTCTCTCTCTGCCCTTCCCTCGCTCACTCTCTGTCTCTCTTTCTCTCAAAAATAAATACACATGAAAAAATAAATAAACATGAAAAAATAATTAAAAAGTGAAACCCCCAAAGCTCTAAACTGAGAAGTATTGTCATTTCTCACGTCACAGGAGAATTCGATTCGACTTGTTCAGAGAGAGAGAGAGAACGATTGTGAGTGGGGGAGGGGCTGAGAGAGATGAGAGGGAGAATCTTTTTTTTAAATTTTTTTTAATGTTTTTGATTTATTCTAGAGAGAGAGAGAGAGAGAGAGAGACAGAGCATGAGCAAGGGAGGGGCACAGTGAGAGAGGGACACGGAATCTGAAGCAGACTCCAGGCTCTGAGCTGTCAGCACAGACCTGAGTCTAAATTAAGAGTCTGACACTTGAGCCACCCAGGAGCCCCTCGAATCCAAAACTTTCTGAATTCCCACCTACTTCTAGCCCCCGGGGTTTTGAGGAAGGGATTATGCACCTATTTCAAGGTGCATTTTATCTATTCACTATAAACAAAAGCAGCGTTTATTATCCTTATGAAGAATGTTGGAAGTAGGCAGTGTGATGGGTTCAGGTAAAATGCGTGAACAGAGTGTTGAGCTGTGCTGTGGCACTGAAATGCTTGAATGTAAACGTGATACAGGTGATCAGGCTTATGCTTGAACTTCCAAATATTTATTCTGAGTATTTTAGCTTTATTTCTATAATCGTCATTCTTGACTTCTGAGTTGCTCGTGTTCGAAGTCAGACGTCTGGGAAAGCATCCTCGTGATCCTGTCGCGCAGAGACACCTGCTGGGGTGGAGGTCAGAGCCCCGAGCCTGCTGGTGGCTCCTTCTCCGCCACCGTCTGCCTGCTGGGTCGTTTCCTACGTCCTGTCCCAGCCCCCGGTGGTTGCTGTGAGTTGCTCCTCTGGCTTCATTTCAGTTCCGTGGCGCTGAGCCTTCCGGAACCTTTCCTTCCGGCGCGGGAGCTGGCAGACGACGGCCGTGGGCCAGTCCTGCCCCCCTGCCTGCTTTTATAAATGAAGTGTTACGGGAACACGGCTACGCTCATTTGTTGACATCTCGTCAGTGGCTGCTCTGAGGCTCCCCAGCAGAGTTGAGTAGTGTCTGGCCCTTCACCGGAGACGTTTGCCAACTCCTGTTGAAGGACGGACGGGGGCTCCCCGTGGGGCCTCCTGTGTCCGCTGGCTCGTCCGCTCGTGGTTGGGGCCGCGGGGATGAGACTCAGAGCCCGCGGATGGCCCTTTGCTGCTTGCCGAGCACAGCCAGCTGTGGATTTTCTGCTGGGTCCGCGGACATCTGGGGACACCGGACCCCTCCATCTGCTGGCAGTGTCTGGAGGGGCCGGGGGATGACCTCATCCCTGTAGTCTCGATTTGGGATCCGTCCCTAGAAGTGAATTCCATTCCCAAAGTCCATCGCTTGTCTTTTATTTTTAATTTTTTTTTAACCGGAGAGGGATTCTGTAGCCTCTTCATTTTTAAA